AAGCCGCTCCCGGCACGAAGTGACCCGCACGGTACCTTCTACAGCCTCCGCATGTGATCTGAAATAAAAAAATTCTTAAAATAGATAAATTTGTGGGGCCCTATCGGTTTCCGATTTTTAAAAAAGCCCTTTAAAACAAAATGGCGGCCATTTAAAAAAATACTCATTTTTTCATGTTTTTTTTGCGCTTTAACGTTAACAAAAAAATATTTATAATAATTTTTTCGAAAAAAACGCTCCGTCAGGGCCCCCCAAATTTAATTAGCTTTAATTTGAGCGGTGAAACGTTGAAATCGGTGCATTCCTCGAAGCTCTAGAGCGTACCGCGCGTCGAACAACGTTGTTTCGAGAAAAACGCGTTTAATGTTTTATGTAGTAAAAAATCGTACTCAAAGTTAGTTTTTGACAACTTACGTCTAATCGGCTATTCCAGCACCATACAGGGTCCCTTTTTCTTCTTCGAAGATCATGTTCTTTTGAATTTGCAAGCTCATTCTTTCAATTCTTGCTTGTTTTGCGAGCTCCGACAATTCTTGCTCCCGTGCGGTGATGCGTTTGTTCGTTTTATCGGCGAAGCTTCTGCTGTAGTTCCCAATGACGATTCCTAGTGTATTCATCGTTCTCAAAATAGATGAAAAACCTTCATTGAAGACACCAGCTGCTATATATGCTGCTATTTGAATTGTTTGTACACCGCAGTGAAGGTGTTTAGGAGCAAGTTTCCAAATGCAGGCGTTGAAACTTTCATTGTCATTTTGTGTGTTTCCGCCGGTGCACCTTTGTAATAAATCGTCACTCGAAAGAGCCTCATACACCGGTCGAATGGCTTCTTGAACAGATTGGCGAAGGGCAGGTTCGTGGTGGAAATCGTTGAGTTGTCCCTTAGCTTCGGCGACGCGCCACTTACACCAGCTGTTCTCTCCTCGCGGGCAGTACTCGTGCATCGGTTCGTCGTCTTTGGAGCATTTATGAAGAAAAGTTGCCCACACAGCTTTTTTCATTTCTTCGGCCAAATCGGGATGTCTTCGGATGGCAAGACCCTAATACAAAGTTAAATCTTTGATTAATTTGTCTGTTAACTTCCCTTTGCCTTTGCCTCCGATTCCTTTAGTTTTTCTTTTAACTTCGCGCAGTCGAGAACCCATACGCTTCTGAACGTGTCCTATACATTCTTTTTTTTTTCACTGCAAGGTCATCGTAAGTATTGCATTCTAGGAGAGCTTTGAATGTTTTGGTGTCTCCGTCACCGATGTATGTCTCGTATTTCACGCCGAGTTTATTTGAACGACAAAAGATTTCTTTCATCGAATCTACTTCCATCTTGCCAGAACTTCCACTGTGATTGATGCTGCAATGTTCTTCATGATTTTCGAGCCATATATCATATTCAACAGTTCCTTTTTTTGAGGCCCAGTTGCTGCAACTTTGGCAAAATGAAGATTTCACGACAAAATCTATAACTTTATGAGTGTATTTGCCGATCAAAGTTGTAACCCCGAATAGTGAAGAAAATCCACGTCTTTTCCAAGAGCCGTCTCCAGAAACACTCAGATGTGTTTCTACATTTCCTGCATTGGCGTTCAAATTTTTTTCTTCATCAACTGCTTTTCGTTGAATCATTTCAAATGTGCTCTTTGATGCCTAGACTAGATTTGTGATAAAAGCGTAATATGTACTTTTGCCAAAACCGCCAGATAATTCCATCAACGAACAAAACGTATTTATCGAATGCATCCCAAGTCCCAAAAGGCGCATAACGAACATCAGTCTGCGATTTATTTTGTACGAAGTATTCACTAACGGACTCGAGGGCACGCGTCGTTGATTTTTGCACGAGCACGTGAGAAGTAAATTGAAGCCGAGTCCACGTTCGCACATGCGGGTAAATTTTACATCCCCGTCACAGCTTTTACACTTTAAACACAGCGATAAAAAGTTAAACACTGTTAAAAAGTCGATAATAACGTTTGTACGGCCAACGTCGATTTCGATATCACCGTAACTCGCGTTCTTCAATTTCTTGGCGGATGTGCTGATAAATTCTTTTTCATTTTCCATTTGCTCTGGATCATAACTGACTCTTTTTTTCCGCGGCCGAGCAGGGCGTGCTCTTCCCGGTAAACTTTTTCGCGTGTTCGGCATTTTTCCGGCGCGTTGACTATTTACACGATCGTCGCACGACTAAGAGCACGTCGTTTCAAAACGAACGGTCGCCCAACTGAAAATACGCACTACACACGCATATAAGTGAGTTTACAATAGATTGGAATGTGTATAAATTCGTTCAGAAGACCCTAAACTTACTACCTACCGTAGACTCATCCATCAGGTATAGAAAAAGGTCTCCCCTCTCAACCGCGCCGAGAGCGCGTTCGGCGAGTTCGGAGCGCTTTCGGACTGCTCCGCTCGATCCCGTATATCTCGACAACTACATCATATATCGAAATATCGTTTCTCCCACGTATTCTCGATAACATAAGGATGAAAACTAAGCAAAAAAAAATTTCGATTTTTTTATCGATTTTGACGGGAATCTGCCCTTAATATAGAATACTGGTTTGTGGAATTAGAGGTATTGATTGAATAGAGGTCTTAAATTATTTTTAATATATTAATTTAT